ATCTATCTATCTATCTATCTATCTATCTATCTATCTATCTATCTATCTATCTATCTATCTATCATCTATCTATCTATCTATCTATCTATCCATCCATCCATCCATCCAAACTATCTATCCTATCTATCCTATCTATCTATCTATCTATCTATCTATCTATCTATCTATCTATCTATCTATCTATCTATCCATCCATCCATCCATCCATCCATCCATCCATCCATCCATCCATCCATCTATGCTCTGGACTGTTAGTCCGTCCGTCCGTCCGTCCGTCCGTCCGTCCGTCCGTCCGTCCGTCCATCCATCCATCCATCCATCCAATCTGCCTACCTTTAAAGCCATCTTTTCTCATTTTGATTGTCACTCTTGGCTTTTAGGCTGAATTTTCTCCTGGTTAACTGACTTGACTGACTAACAGTCCAGAGCAGAGGTCCCCAACCTTTTGGGCACCACCAGGGACCGGTTCCATGGAGAGAGGTTTTTGCACGGACTGGAAAGTGCGTGGTTTTGTATGCTTACTGCATCCCACTTGTTTGCTTGTTTGTGCGGACCAGTTGCTGACATGCTGTGGCCTGGTACTGGTCCAAGCACTGGGGGTTGGGGACCCCTGGTCCAGAGGACCTTAGCAAAACTTAAGCCATCAGAGCTACTAAGAAGAGGCAGACAAAGAACCCGGAGGAAGACTTAGGGCAGAGGTCTTCCAACTTGGCCCTTTTATGACTTGTGGACTTCAACTCCCAGAATCCCTCAGCCACCTTCTGGGAGTTGAAGTCCACAAGTCATAAAAGGGCCAAGCTGGAAGACTCCTGACTAGGGGTTTTTGTGGGGGGGGGGGGGGAAAGGAGACCAACAAGTATCAACCAAGCACCTGGGAAGCAGCCCCGCTGTCCGCAGCACCCGTGTGGGAATAGTGATCGGAAGCGTTGCCGAGACCGTGGACGTTCAGGGTGAGACCGCCACCTCCGCTGGCAAACTCATCTCCCCGGACCGAATGGATGAGGTCGTTCAAGTATTTGTAATAAAGGTTGCTGGACAGGAAACTGGGTAAGAAAACCTGCAAGATGGGAGAGACAAAAGTAGCGTGTGGAAGTGACGAAGAGAATATGGGTAGCTCGGAGCGGAACGTGGCGTCCTCTGAGCTGGGCTGGTTTTTTTTGTTTNGGAGGAGGAGGGGGAGGAGGAGGAGGAGGAGGAGGAGGAGGACTGTGGGGTCCTTGGTGCTCTCTGAGCTGGGTGGTTTTCTTGCAGACGTTTCATGATCCAACTAGGTAACATCATCAGTGCTAGAAGGGAGGAGGAGGAGGAGGAGGAGGAGGACTGTAGGGTCCTTGGTGCTCTCTGAGCTTGGTTGTCTTTTGCAGATGTTTTATGACCCAGCTAGGTAACATCATCAGGGCTAGAAGGGAGTTTGTGAAGGGGATGAGAAGGTGAAGAGGAAACGCAGGAAAGAAGGAGGAGGAGGAGAACTGTGGAGTCCTTAGCGTTTTCTGAGCTTGATGGGTTTTTTTGCAGACGTTTCATGACCCAGCTAGGTAACATCATCAGGGCTCGTGGGGAAGGAGGTCCTGAAATCAATCTTTGCAATGTCTGGTTAAACACGGTTCACAGGTGATAGAAAAATTCTTTCTCTGCCAAGGGTGACAGATACAGCTCACCTTACATAAAGGACGGTTTCTGAACCTCAACCTTTTGAAGACAGGTAGACTTCAGCTCCCAAAATTCCTCAGCCAGTATATCTTAAGTCGTACTAATGGGGAATTCTGGGAGTGGAAGTCCACCCATCTAAAAAGAGGCTGAGATTGAGAAACACCGAGATAAAAAAAATAAAATAAAAATGCCACAGGCTGATCTAAATCCATGTCAAGCAGCCCCCACAGCTGAGCCATGCTCAAGCCCCCTTAACCAGATCCCTCCAAGTCCTATTGGACTATTTCAGGGCTGCCCCTAATCCGAGGGGCCCTTGTCACCATTCTCACACACACACCCCACACACACGTCAATGTATTGAGGCCTGGTATTCTGCCAAAGGAGCAATTAGCAAGCATATTGATCCAGATCCAGCATATGAATAGGTAAGAAACCAGACCGTTTGAAGTGCCAATCAACAAGAGAACCAACCAGCTGCTCAGAATTCCAATATAGCTACAAACAAACAAACAAACAAACACACAACTGCACAACCAACTGACCACACTGGCACACAAGACATTTATAAGCTAAGGCAGGGGTCTTCAAACCTGGCCCTTTTATGACTTGAGGACTTCAATTCCCAGAATTCCTCAGCCAGGCGTGCCTTTTATGACTTGTGGACTTCAACTCCCAGAATTCCTCAGCCAGGTGTGCCTTTTATGACTTGAGGACTTCAACTCCCAGAATTCCTCAGCCAGGCGTGCCTTTTATGACTTGTGGACTTCAACTCCCAGAATTCCTCAGCCAGGCGTGCCCTTTATGACTTGAGGACTTCAACTCCCAGAATTCCTCAGCCAGGCGTGCCTTTTATGACTTGAGGACTTCAACTCCCAGAATTCCTCAGCCAGGCGTGCCTTTTATGACTTGAGGACTTCAACTCCCAGAATTCCTCAGCCAGGCATGCCTGGCTGAGGAATCCTGGGAGTTGAAGTTTACAAGTCATAAAAGGGCCAAGTTTGAAGACCCCTGAACTAGACCTTCAAATATTGAGTGAGAAGGACCCAAGCCAGCAGAATTCTGGGAGTTGAAGTCCACAGATGTTGTCTGTGGCATTCTGGGAGTTGAAGTCCACGAGTCATAAAAGGGCCAAGTTTGAAGACCCCTGAACTAGACCTTCAAATATTGAGTGAGAAGGACCCAAGCCAGCAGAATTCTGGGAGTTGAAGTCCACAGATGTTGTCTGTGGCATTCTGGGAGTTGAAGTCCACGAGTCATAAAAGGGCCACGTTGGAAGACCCCTGAGCTAAGGAGAATAGGAAGGAGAACATCCTGCTGAGGAATTCTGGGAGTTGAAGTCCACACGCCTTAAAGTGGCCACGTTGGAAGGCCCCCGTGTTAGCTAGTTCTGGTCACCAAACGTTCAGAACTGGAAAAGAAGCGTGGAGAGCAAAACCGCGGCCAAAATCTAAAAACTCTGAGCCGCGAGTGCGTTTCCTATTCCTTTGTTCCCACCTTCTCCATGGTGGTCCAGGCCTGTCTCAGCGGAGTGGTGAAGCAGTTGGGGAGTGGTCCGCCTTCCCTGCAGATGTTGGACTCAATTTCCAACCGTACGGAGTCATCGAACCCGAGAGGATGAGTGGATTGGAGAGAGAAGTACCTGGGGTTTTTTTGGGGGGGGGGAGGAAGAGGGGGGGAGGCAGAGAGAGAGAGAGAAAGAATGGTCAGATGTCAACGCTGCAAATACTGTATATTCTTGCTTTGACAATATGCAGAACTGTCTGGTATTTATATAGTTAAACCAGGCAACAGGGAAAGAGGGAGGAGCATAAGGATAGCCCGGGAGAAAGAAACGGGAAGTAAATCACATCTTCCAAGTTGATTGGAAGATGTGAACCATGACCCTACAATAAGGGAGTGGGAAATGCTTGGAATGTTATGCGTAACGGAAGAGAAGCCAGACCTAAGCATTTTCCACCATGCTGTACTGACGTCTCTGTAACCTTAATAAATGCTTTTAGGAGAAAATATGCCTGAAAGTCCTTTTAAGTGTTTCGTTAATCAGACACACGACCGCGCAGGTGAAAAAGAGCTTTTCCAACTTTGGTTTTTTGCTCCTTCGGTGGAGGGCGTTTTGTCAATCTGGGGTGGGGGGAAGGGAGAAACAGTGACCCCCACCCCCACCCCAGCCCTCTAGCATTGAGACTACAGGTGGTCCTTGGCTTATGACAGTGGTGGTGAACCTATGGCACGGGTGCCAGAGGCAGCACTCGGAGCCCTCTGTGGGGAACACGTGCCATTGCCCCACCCTCACCTCCCCCCACGACCCCCTCCTCTCCAGCAGCCCCCCTGGAGGAGAGTCGCCCCCAAGCATGGCCTACACGGAGCAGCGCAGCCAAAGACATGGTAGCCAGGCAGCGTAGACAAGACTCTGCCCTCATGCCCCATCCCACACAGTTGATGCTGCAGGGTGCGGGCAGAGGGCGTGACCGCCATAGCGCTGCTGGGCTGCCTGGGCGATCTGCGGCGGGCCCTGGAGGCGGTGAGTGGTCCTGCGGGCAGGTGGGGTGGAGGATGGGGTGGGGGTGGAGCAGGGGCAGAGCAGGGGGTGGGGCCAGTTTTTGGGCACTTGGTCTCTAAAAGGTTCGCCATCACTGACGTATGACCACAACTGAACCCAGCGTTTCTGTGGCTAAGTGAGACCGTGGTTAAATGGGTTTTTGCCCTATTTTACGACCTTTCTTGCCATTGGCTAAGGGAACCAGAGCAGTTGTTAAGTTAATAACTATGTGGTTAAGCGAATCTGGCTTCCCCATGGACGACATCATCATCATCATCATCATCATCATCATAAAGTCGGAAGGGACCTTGGAGGTCATCTAGTCCAATCCCCTGCTCAGGCAGGAAGCCCTATACCATTTCAGACAAATGGCTGTCCAGTCTCTTCTTAAAAACCTCCAGTGTTGTAACATTCACAGCTTCTGGAGGCAGGTTGTTAATAATAGTAATAATAATGTGGGAAGGGACCTTAGAGGTCATCTAGTCCAACGCCCTGCTCAGGCAGGAAACCCTATACCAGTGGTGGCGAACCTATGGCATGGGTGCCAGAGGCGGCACTCAGAGCCATCTCTGTGGGCACGCATGCTGTCGCCCCAGCCCCGCCATCCCCCGTGGCCTCCTCCTTACCAGCAGACCCCCCCGGAGACTCGCCCCGGGCGCAGCCTGCGCAGACAAGCACATGGCAGCCAGGCAGCGGCTCGTGCCCCATCGCGTATAGATGCTGCGGGGCGCAGAGGGTGTGGCCATGACGCTGCTGGGCCGCCTGGGCGATCTATTGTGGCGGGCCGTGGAGGTGGTGGGCAGGAGAGGGGGGGTAGAACAGGGGCGAGGCACTTTTTGGGCACTTGGTCTCTAAAAGGTTCGCCACCACTGCCCTATCCCATTTCAGACAAATGGCTGTCCAGTCTCTTCTTAAAAACCTCCCGTGTTGGCGCATTCACCGCTTCTGGAGGCAGGTAGTTCCACTGGTGAATTGTTCTCACTATCGGGAAGTTTTCTCCTTTGATTGTCAGAAGGTGGCAAAAGGGGGTCACATGACCTGGGGACACTGCAGTGGCCATCAATATGAGCCTGTTGCCAAGCGTCTGGATTTGGTCATGTGACCAGGGGGGGATGACACGCCGGTCGTTAAGTGTGAGAAACAATCGTAAGCCGCCAAAGGGGATCGGGTGACTCTGGGACACTGGATCTTAGCCTGCTTTCACCAGGGCTGGCCAGATGCAAAGTAAGGGGTGAGGAGGGGAGAGAGAGAGAGAGAGAGAGAGACGTGTAAGTAAGAAGTAAGCTCACTTACTTATCGTACAGAATCATGGCATCGTTCTGGGCCTCCTGCCCGTCATACTGGCCCTCCTTGGATGCCAGCTGGGACTGGAAATTGTCCGCCGCCAGCCAGAACTGCAGGATGTTCACAGCATCTTCTTTCTCCATGAACTGGGAAAGAAAACCAGACAGATGTTGGAAATGCAAATCTAAGTCGGGCACGTATTACCGCGTTCAGTGGACACGTGACAAAGTCAAGAGTTATTGGGAAAAGATAACGTACCTGGCTAGGAAAGAGGTTGGGAAAACACGTAGATTTGAAACCTGCACTTTTTTTAAAAATCTATATAAATAAAAATGTAAATGTTCGTTTGTTCAAAATCTTAAATCTCCCAGAATTAGACTCAAAAAGACATTCAAAACTGTCTAATGGATTAAAAGGCAACGCTGGTTTTATGGTTTGTTTTAAGGATAATGATTTTAGAGTTTGAAGTAAGAAAAATATAATTATATACGTGTGTGTTTACATTAGTTAGATCAGTGTTTCTCAACCTTGACCATTTTAAGGCATGTGGACTTTTAACTCCCAGAATTCCACAGCCAGCAATGCTGGCTGTGGAATTCTGGGAGTTGAAGTCCACGTGCCTTAAAATGGTCAAGGTTGAGAAACACTGAGTTAGATGATCCTTTTGTTTTTTATGGAAATTTACCTGGCACAGAAATATGAAAGTTAAAAGTGGAGTGAAAAAAGAAATCTGGCTTAATGGATTGTATTAAGGATAAATATATATATATAATTATATATTCGTTAAAATAATGATCACCAAGAGAATACTTAAACAGAGTTTAATTAATCAACCAAGCTTTCGACAAAATACATATGACATCGTCAGGGTTAAAAGGAAAATAAAAGGGGGGGACATATACCGTTATCAAACGTCCTGTTATCAAGCGTTTGATAACGGTATATAAGTCCCCCCCCTTTTACTTGCCTTTTAATCCTGACGATGTCATATGTATTTTGACGAAAGCTAGGTTGATTAATTAAACTCTGTTTAAGTATTCTCTTGGTGATCATTATTTTAACGAATGGATATTCCCAAGAGTCGTATTTTTACTAGTATTCTTAATAATTATATATATATATACATATATGTTTAAAGAGATTAAGAATGTATTTTTTGGAATAATAGATTGATTTTGAGGGAAATTATGTATTGGACTTGAAAAAACATTGAATTTTTAGACTGGAACTCTGAAGTGCTTAAATTAACTAGGTGATTTATGTATATAATAATATGGTCTGATAAGGTATGACAAGTAATTGGATGCAATGTGAAGTTGGTCTAATGAATTGAAATAAATTAAGATTTAACATTTTTTTTTTTTAACTAAGTTAGTAATTATTGGAAAAAAGAAATAAATGAGATTGGTGATAAAAACCAGGATGAGAGGGATTAAGAGTCTGAATATATTTGGAAAAGAGACTTGAAGTGATAATTTGTTGAAGCAAAACAATATTTGAAGCTTTAAAACAGGTTTAGTCGTATAGAAATTTAAGCTAGAAATGGAATATATTAAATCCATTATGTTATTTGAGGGAAATAGAGAGATGGCAGTGAATGTACTAAGTTGAGTTGTCTATGTATGTTTTTACTTTGGAATGTTTGTTTGCCCAAACACCACGGTGTGTTTTAAGTACTTTCTGTTAAAGTTGAAAAACCAATAAAATATGTTTGGAAAAAAAAACAAAAACTTAAATCTCCGAAAGTTCTTCACCGATTGCTTTGAAATTTTGACACAACGTTGCATTCGAATACGTGCGTGTTTTTATATACCTACCATTATATAGATGCCACACCTGTGACAGGTAAAAACATGCTTTTTTTTGAAAAACAGCGCCATCTGTTGGACGTAAAAGCAACACACGCTACGATTGGAACAACAAAAAATATTGTGTACCCACAAGCATTGTGAAATTAAACATATTAGAAACGTGCGCTTTCTCTTTTCTTTCTTTTCCATTTAACCAGACTGAGCCGCAGCAACGCGTGGCCGGGTACAGCTAGTTAGGTAATAATGCCAGAAAAGACTAACATACAAAGCTTATGTTTGATTTTGCGTGCCACAACAGCGGCAAGAATTATATTCGCGCAATACTGGGGAAAAAAAACGAAGGAATACCATCAGATGAAGAAATAATAATAATAATAATAATAATAATAATAATAATAATAATAATAATAATAAAATACTAGAATGCGCAGAGATGGACAGACTGACTGTGAGACTGAAAGAAAAAGAAGAAATGGAATATTACCAAACTTGGCATTTATTTTATCGATGGCTAGAGGAAAGAATAAAGGATTAGGAATTAAATATGTATTATGAGCGAATGTAAACTCAAGACAGCATGTGGGTTGAAAAATTATGACTGAATGTATGGGGGGGGGAGAGAAATCAATAAAAAACTTTTATGGGCACTTTCTTTCATGTATGGTGGACATGTAGAGAAGCACAGGTGTACTAGCGTACGGTCTGGGAATGGGCAATAGAAATGACTAAGCAAAAGATTCAATACAAACCTGAGAATTACTATTAGGAATACTAGAGAAAAATGTAAATAAAGATGACACATATCTAATTATTCACATGGTTACGGCGGCAAGGATACTATTTGCTCAAAAGTGGAAAGCAATGGAAGTACAGAGTGGGGAAGTACTAATTAAGAAAATTATGTATTGCGTAGAATTAGATAGGATAACCAAAAGATTAAAAAAATCAGGAAGAAACAGAATTTTATCAAGTATGGAATAAATTTTATAGATGGAGGGGAAAAAATGGAGGTCACAGCAAAGAGATAAGTTAAGACAGAGACCAGAAATGTACAGTTGTATATAGATATATTATATATAAGAATAAAACTAAAAACTCGACTCTTGGGAAAAATCATAATATCAGAATAAATATAGACCACCAAGAGAATACATATAAAATGTTTAATCTACCTAGCTGACGATGTCAAACATTTTGTTGACGAAAGCTAGGTAGATTAAACATTTTATATGTATTCTCTTGGTGGTCTATATTTATTTTGATATTAGATATATTATATGTAATTAATGTACAATATGGACTGAGATGTCAGTCAAAGACGATTTACCATGTTCAATGTTTTTAATCTTTTTTTTCCTTTGTACTTAATAAAAACTTAAAAAAAATATATAAAAAAAATAAAACTTTTACAAACAAACAAACAAAAAAGAAAATCAGGAGAAGGTGAGCGCAAAGGTTCCTCCGTGGAGGGCTAAAATTCGCTATGGGGAGGGGGAGAAAGGGACTAGGGGGAAGAAGGGGCGGGGAGGGAAAGGAGAGGGAAGGAAAACAAAAGGAAAGGAAAGGAAAGACAGAAGGAGTGAAAGAGGGGAAAAAGGAAGGAAAGGGAAAGGAAAAAGAGGGAAATGAAAGGAAGCAGGAAGGAAGAGGGAAGGGAAGGTTAGGAGGAGGGGAATAAATCAGAATTGGGTATGTCTATATCAGGGCTTTTCAACCAGTGGTGCGGGTACCACCTGTGGTCCATTGGCACCTGGCAGGTGGTACACAACCATCTTAGAAAAGTGGTAGTGGGGGAGGGGAATGAGCTGAACCAGTGGTAGCACCGCACAAGCCTGAGCGAGAGATGGCTGGAGCTGCAGGGCTGTCAGGGCTCAGCGGAAGTGCCAGGATCAGCGCCAGGATCCAGCTGTATCTCAGCACTGATCCTGGCACTTCTGCTGAGCCCTGAAGAAGCACCAATCAGCTGGAATGTTGCAGCCTCTCCAGGGTCTTGTGATTTACATTCAGAGGCTTGGCAACTGATTCATATTTATGACGGTCACAGTGTCCCAGGGTCATGTGAAGGGACCAAAACCTGCTGCAACCACCCAGCAGATGGGGGGGGGGGGATAAAAACCAAACACCCCCCACCCCACCCCTGCTGCCAATCCTCAACAGAAATGCTCACAACAATGAAAACCTCGGACAGGAGGACGAGTGCCGCTGAGTGAGCAGGCAGGCGTCTTGCTCGGCTGTGGCTTGGGGGGCACTTTTTTCAGTGCCATTGTAACTTCAGACAGTCACTAAGCGAACTGTCGTAAGTCGAGGATTACCTGTACTTTATCACTTTTTTCCTTTTTTTTAATGGGTCATCAAGTTTTTGACCCCTTGCTAGGCGACTGGTGGTACTCGGATGTTGCCATATCCTAAAAGTGGTACAATGGGTGAAAAGATTGAAAAGCCCTGATCTAGGGAAGGGAAGGGAAGGGAAAGGAAGGAAAGGTTAGGAGGAGGGGAATAAATCAGAATTAGTCATTCTAGGGAAGGGAAGGGAAGGGAAGGGAAAGAAAGGGAAGGGGGAAGGAGAAAGAAATAGTAAATGAAAGGCAGAGGGAGGGAAGGAAGGAAAGAAGGTAGGTAGGTAGTGGCGTGGAGGAAAGGAAATGGAAAGGAAAGACAGAGGGAAAGAAACAAGAGAGAAGGAAAGGGGAAAGAAAAGGAAGGAAAGAGTTAAGAAGAAATGAAAGGAGAGGGAAGGGAGGGAAGGGAGTGGGAATGAAAGAGGGAAGGAAAGAAGGAAAGGGAAAGGAAAAAGGAAAGGAAGGAAAGGCAGAGGGGAGAAGGGAGGGGAGAAAGGAAAGGGAAGAACAGGAAAGAAGGATGGAAGAAAGGAAGGAAGGAAGGAATGGAAAAGGAAAACACGGAAAAAAAGAAGAAAGGCAGAGGAACAGGGAAAAGGAAAGAAGGGAAGGAAGGAAGGGAACAAAAAGAAAGGAAGGAAGCAGGGGAAGGGAAGGAAAAGCTCCTCGCCAAGCATTACCCTGGTCTCAAAAATGCCAAAAAAGGCACCCTTGAAACTGTTTGAACATTAAGCTCCCGAATAAAAGATTTGAACACGAAAAAAGCTTCCCAGATCGACACGACGCTCTTTGTTACCCTGTCAGAGACACACACAAGAGCGTGCGAAATCATTGGACAGGTTTCACAACCAGCAAATCGCACACGAACACCTCCTAGGCAGAAAATAAAAATCTTTTGGGGTGGGGTGGGGTGGGGGTGTGTGAGAAGTGACACCGACAACTTTTGACAACTCTCCAGACTCCTTCAACAGCTGCGAAAAGAATTCTGTCTGCCCTTGTTAAATTAAATTTAGAGGCTTTTCGCAGCCTCAGCCAGGCAGGAAAGATTCAGCGGCGAGGAGAGAATCACGGTTGTTTTTTTTCAGGTGTGCAAAATCCACGTGCCGAGAGAACCAATTAATACAGGGAGTCCTCGACTTACGACCGCAACGGAGCCCAAGATTTCTGTTCTTAAGTGAGACATTTGTTAAAAGAGAGTTTGGCTGCGTTTTTACGACCTTTCTCACCTTCTTAAAACCAGAGGTCTTCCGACTTGGCCCTTTTATGACTTGTGGACTTCAACTCCCAGAATTCCTCAGCCAGGCACAGCTGGCTGAGGAATTCTGGGAGTCGAAGTCCACAAGCAGGGGTCCTCCAACTTGGCCCTTTTATGAATTGTGGACTTCAACTCCCAGAATTCCTCAGCCAGGATGCTTTAAGACAGGGGTCTTCCAACATGGCCCTTTTATGAATTGTGGACTTCAACTCTGGGAGTTGAAGTCCTCAAGTCATAAAAGGCACGCCTGGCTGAGGAATTCTGGGAGTTGAAGTCCACAAGTCATAAAAAGCACGCCTGGCTGAGGAATTCTGGGAGTTGAAGTCCTCAAGTCATAAAAGGGCCAAGTTGGAAGACCCCTGTCTTAAACAAAGGACTGCAGTTGTTTAGTTAGTCACCCTCATTGTTAAGTGAATCCCACTGACTTTGCCTGTCAGAAGGTCGCAGAAGGGGATCACGTGACCCCCAGGGACACTGCGACCGTCATAAATACGAGTCAGTCGACAGACGTCGGAATTTTGATCAGGTGACCCTGGAGAAGCTGCAACGGTCGTTAAGGGTGAAAAATGATCATCAGTCACTTTTTTTCCCTAGCGCCGTTTTAACTTTGAACAGTCACTAAACGAACCGCTGAACTCGAGGACTATCTGTACACAGGTGTCCAATTTGTCGACTTTAAGATCCGCGGACTTCAACTCCCAGAATTCCCCAGCCAGCGTGCCTGGCTGAGGAATTCTGGGAGTTGAAGTCCACAAGGCTTAAAGCAGGGGTCTTCAAACTTGACCCTTTTATGACTTGTGGACTTCAACTCCCAGAATTCCTTAGCCAGCATGGGGGAACTATGGCCCCTTTATGACTTGCGGACTTCAACTCCCAGAATTCCTCAGCCAGCGTGCCTGGCTGAGGAATTCTGGGAGTTGAAGTCCACAAGTCATAAAAGGGCCATGTTTGAATACCCCTGGCTCAAAGCTTCCAAACTTGAACACCCCTCGTCTACTATATCTTGGAGAGCGAAGGGATGAAAATAACATAGTGTGTGTGTGTGTGTGTATAAAGTTATGAAGTTTGCTTTCACAACTAACCCTGAGCTTTCAGGCACACACAATCGAGGTTAAAGTAGGGAGGACAACCGTCCTTACAGCGCTGTTGGTAAGATAAATGCCACCAGATTGTCATGAACCGAGTCACCCAGGGTCACTTTGAGAGTGTGATGGTGTGGGTGTGTGTGTGTATGTGTGTGTGTATAAACTGAAAATAACATTAAAATTAAAATTCTGCTAGGTTTCACCAAACGCGAGACCACGATAAGAAAGGAAGGAAGTGCAATGAACATTTTAAACCAGTCGGCATGTTTCAAATACTGTTGGGGAAAATCAACTTAAATAAGAATTTTAAACAGGGTCTATGACGAGGCAATCAAGATGATCCATTTGAAAAGAAGCTTTACATCCCATGTGGTTATTATTTGCAGAAATATTAGGGGAAAAAATGTCTATATTTAATTGTTATTTACCTAAATAATAAGAATTGTATTAATTCAAGGTTGGCCAAAGAGATCATTTTTGGAAGAAGAGAATGTCAAGCAAAGCTATTCGGTGGAGTACAGAATTGTAGAAACGAATTGTTATTGATTGCTTTTTTAAATATAAACCCGGACAACACGATGTTTACCAAGGTGATTATGTAAAAGAAAATAAAACATATTAAGAAGAAGAAGAAGAAGAAGGAGGAGGAGGAGGAGGAGGAGGAGGAGGAGGAGAAGGAGAAGGAGNAGGAGGAGGAGGAGGAGGAGGAGGAGGAGGAGGAGGAGAAGAAGGAGAAGGAATGCCTCGTCTCACCTCGGAAAAATAAAAAAGGGCCGATTCGCAGAAGAGGATATCGGCCAGGTAGACGGTCCCGCTCGTCAGCACCTCAATCTGGTATTTGCAAAAGTGATGGCTTCGCAGGAATTCGCTAAAGTGCCTGTGAGGGGAAAAAAAGGGATGTTCCAGCATCAGAAGCCAAGAAATCACCTCTTCCTTTCCCAGAATAACAGAGTTGGAAGGGTCCCTGGAGGTCATCTAGTCCAACCCCCTATTCAGCCAGGAAAGCCTAAACCAGGGGTCTTCCAACTTGGCCCTTTTATGACTTGTGGACTTCAACTCCCAGAATTCCTCAGCCAAGCACGCTGGCTGAGGAATTCTGGGAGTTGAAGTCCACAAGTCATAAAAGGGCCACGTTGGAAGACCCCTGGGCCTAAACCATTTCAGACAAATCAACAGGCATAGAGAGATCAACAACATTTACACGCCATTCAAGAAAGACAATTTAAAAAAAACCCAAAAAAGGAAACAAAAAAAGATGAAAATGCCTCATCAGCAATCAACACCCAGATGAGCAGAGATCAACACCAAGATTAGACCAACAATCAAGCAATAAGCAATATCCCAGTCAAGGAAGTAACAACTCGGACAATCACACAGTAAACGCTTAATCAAGGAAACATTAAGAAGAAAACAGTCCTACCAATACGGACAGGGCAAGCCATTAGTATTTAAAATGAGAGCAAACCCCACTCCCTTCTAGCACTGATGATGTTACCTAGTTGGGTCTCGAAACGTCTGCAAGAAAACATCCAAGCTCAGAGAGCACCAAGGACCCCCACAGTCCTCCTCCTCCTCCTTCCCTTCCTCCTCCTCTTCACTCCCTCTTCTCCTCCTCCTCCTCTCCATAAACCCCTCCTTCCTTCTAGCACTGATGATGTTCCCTAGTTGGGTCATGAAACGTCTGCAAGAAAACCACCAAGCTCAGAGAACACCAAGGACCCCACAGTCGGCCTCCTCTGCTCTGCAAACCTCATTCCTTTCTAGCACTGATGATGCTATCTAGTAGGGTCATGAAATGTCTGCAAGAAAAAAACCAAGCTCAGAGCCAAAGACCCCACATTCCTTCTCCTCCCTCCTAGCACTGATGATGTTACCTAGTTGGGTCATGAAACGTCTGCAGGAAAACCACCAGGCTCAGAGAGCACCAAGGACTCCACAGTCCATTTCCTCCTCCTCCTTCCTTCTAGCACTGAGGATGCTACCTAGTTGGGTCATGAAACGTCTGCAGGAAAACCACCCAGCTCAGAGACTACCCAGGACCCCACAAGTCCAAATCTAGGAACAGGAGCGCGCAAAGCCTCATTTGATCTAAAGAAGAGTCGACTTACTCTTGTTCCATGGCGTTAAAGACCACGGACTGTGCCATGACGAAGCAGTTGGGGTCCACCTGTCCATCTTCCCCGCAGATCTTGGCTGAAAGTTCACCGGAAGACATTCCCCATTAGTGTCAAAGAGTTTACGGCAAAGCGGAAAAACAGAAGGCGGCGCGCGGCTGGCCCACGTGCAAGCCGAGATGCAGAGCAGGCACTTTGGGTGTGTGTGTGCAAGGGTTTGAAACGGGGTGGGGGCCACGATGATTCTCCCTGCCAGCCCCAACCTCCCCAAGTTTTGTCATCCCGCGAGACGGGAGTGCGACGTCTTACCCACAATATCGTTTCTCATCAGCTCGGTAACCGGTATCGGCTTAGCAGCATCGGGAGATATATATTTGGTAAAGATGGTCACGGCATCCCGCTCAATACCTGGAGGGGGGAGGGGGGAGGAGGGGGGAGAGAGAGAGAGAGAGAGAAAAGGCACGGTGGATTGGGCCCAGTTCTGCTACGGAACATCCAGACTCAGTCACGGTTTTTGTTGCCGGCAGCATCAACCGTGTCATCTCCCAAGCTTCCTCTTTTTTCCGCCATGTATTCAAGAGGGACAGTGATTAATATTTATATGGATTTATAGGTAAGGGCGTGGGCATGTACATATGTATGCATATAGCATGTTTATAGGTGTGTTATGTATGTGTACGCTTTGGAGAGCAGGCAGCAGAATTTGATTTTTAATGTGTGCCCACAGTAAAAAATGACAATAAATCTTATATCTTACATCTTCTTATATTTTATCTTACATCTTATATCTTATCTTATATTTTACATCTTATTATATCTTATCTTACATCTTATCTTATATTTTATATCTTATATCTTATCTTTTATCTTATTTTACATCTTATCTTATATCTTACATTTCAGATTTTATATCTTATCTTATCTTACATCTCATCTTATATCTTCTTATATTTTATCTTACATCTTGTATCATCCTTTATATCTTATATCTTATCTTATATTTTATATCTTGTTAAATCATATCTTATCTTACATCTTATCTTATCTTTTATATCTTTTATTTTATATCTTATCTTATTTTACATCTTATATCTTATCTTACATCTTACATTTCATATTTTACATCTTATCTTACATCTTATATCTTATCTTTTATATCTTATTATATCTTATCTTACATCTTATCTTATATTTTATATCTTGTTATAGCTTATCTTACATCTTATCTTATATTTTATATCTTATATCTTTTATATCTTATCTTATTTTACATCTTATATCTTATCTTACATTTTACATTTCA